AACGGAGCCCAGACAGAGGCAGTGAGAAGTCTCAAGACTTTTTCTCTCTTGCTCTCGATGAAGGCAGACCCTTCTTTCCTCTGCTCCCTCCCTGCCCATGCCTGCTCTGTTTTTGTCTTTTTCTATATTTTTGGAGCCTTTCTTTGCACATCATCCAAATCTATAAATTAAGGATCTGGTCAACCGATCTCTCAATGCAATTGATCAAATTTTCAACGAGAAGTCTGGGCACAGGAGAGCCTCTTGTCATGTGGGGACACATCCGGCGGGATTCACCCTGGATTTATTCATGATAACAGGATTTCTGCTGTTTGGAGCTTGTGGATTCCTGGATTGTCTACAAATTTGTGACGAACTTGGCCTAACTAGCGAACACTCAGACTGTTGGTGTGGACAGAGACGAGGACTCTAAATCTCACTAACGAGTTGGAATCCATCTTGGAGAAGTTGCTAGTTTCGGCTCAGTGGAATGACCAAACTAATTTGGATGATTGGGAAGTGAGATGTATCGGAGAGACTTTAGGGAAGATTGAAATTTATAATCTTCCCGACCTAAGACGTTCTGTTTCTGAATTGGCTTTTCCTGTGTGGCCTTGGAAGGGCTGCATTTTTCTAATCTCCTCAAAGATATGTAAACACAACACTCTTCCATCCACACCCCCTCCTGTATCCATGGAGTTGCGAAGCTGAACGCTCCTAAAGACATTCCTAGATAAACAACACCTTTATCGGACTCTGCCAGGGGCTCAGTAACATTTCTTCATGGCCCTTTGACGTCACCGCCTTCACTCATGTCTTTGTTTTTGTCACAGCTGCTGGTGAGCTGTGACCACTCACACCTGATCATCATCACCTTGATCTCCAGCTGCTGCCATATAAGAACAGATCTTCCCCCTGCACAGCATCAGATTGTTGTGAAACCCTCAGCGGTATTACCTTCAGGTCTGCTGTAGAAACTTGCGCTAACTGTCCGGTAACTAACCTGTCTGTATCTTGCTTCTGCCTAGTTGCCTTTCCTGTCCCCGATCCTGACCCTCTCCACTGGATTTGGACCTCCTGGTTCTGACCCCCTGTCTGTCTGACCCTGAGATGAGGAACCGCCTGACGCTGATTTGGATTCCCTGGTTCTGACCCTGGCCTGTCTAAGAATAAGTTTATTTCATAATAAACACCTGTTTTGTATTCGCTGTTCAGTCCCTGAGTCCATCAGTGCCTGACCGTGTCAGTTTTGCCCTTTGTTTTGTCTGACTGTTGCCATCTGCCCTAATGTGTCCTTTCCTCTTTTTTGTTTTAGAAAGNCCTACCGTACCCCCTTACTTTAACCCCTGTATATTCATAGTTTTCTTTTTCAGGTGGACATTTAGAAAAATGTCCACCATAATGGAGAATATGCATTTACAATAAAATCATGATTTCCAGTGGTGGGCACTGCTAACAAAACGGTTAACCACTAAGAATCTTAGCTCTGCTAGTGCTGAACTCCTGAAACGGATAAAAATTAGAGCAATCTAATGCTAAACTTAAAACACAAACATAAAAAAATAGCAGAATCCAGTGCCAAACTGTTTAACCAGAAAAAAATGAATTGCTAAACACATAAATCTTTATCGGAAACTAACAATAAACACAAAAAATAGCAGAAGCTAATGGTAACGGTGAAGATGACTGTCTCAGTCTCAGACATTGTGAAACATTCTGATTGGTCATCTGGGACAGTGATCAGTCAAGATATTGACCCCATGACCCCAGATATACGTGGGTCATGTGACTCAGGGCTCACCTGTGCAGGTAGACCAGTTTCTGCTCTGTAGGTTAACATTTACTGATCAGAGCAAACAAACCGTCGGATCAGTTGCTGGTTCAATCACTGATTCAGGACGTTGGTCCTTTGGAGAGCCTTCAGTGCAGCTCCACCTACAATGAGAATCTACTGAAACATTTCTAGACAAACTGATTTCATCTTTGGTTCCAGGAAGAGCAGAGTCAGAGTTTATCGCCATGGTAACAGACTCCTCTACTGATGATGTGTCAGTGTGTTGCCAGGTTAACTAACTCAGGGTTGGTTGAACCTGACACCGGCTGATGAACAGTGATGCTGCGGGCCGCCATGTTTCACTGGGTCCATGTTAAGACTCCAGTTATTCCAGAGCTACAGACTGACCAGCAGGGGGAGCTGGCTCCTGTTATTTAGCCCCTCTGTGTGTTTGTGTGTGTTTTTCAGGCTCAGCTGCTGGAGCTGCGGACTCAGAACTACCAGCTGTCTGATGACCTAAGGAAGAACTCTGCAGGTAAAACACCAAGGCTGCCTCACCAGCCCACAGGATCACTCCTCCTCCACCATCCCTGGTACCAGTAGCTTAGAGCTGTGTTAACTTCTGGTTCTGTTTCAGAGCTCAATGCCGTCCGCCTGAAGCTCAGCGTTCTGGAGAGAGACCTAGTCAAAGCTCAAAAGGTGATTGGCTGGCTGGTTGCTAGTTGCTGGCTGGTTGGTTGCTAGTTGCTGGCTGGTTGCTGGTTGGTTGGTTGTTGCTTGCTAGTTGCTGGTTGGTTGCTGGTTGCTGGTTGGTTGCTGGTTGGTCTCTTTCTTCCTCTACTGATTCTACTGATTGTTTCTTTTTTTCTTCAGGCTTTAAACAAGAGCAAAAAGGCTCAGGTGAGTTCCCCTCCTGGTTGCTATGGTTACCAGGCAGCGTGACCCCATCCTGACCCCAGGTGTGTTGCTGCAGGAGGTGGATGCTCTGCTGAGTGAGAACGAGATGCTGCAGGGGAAGCTGCACAGCCAGGAGGACGACTTCCGGCTGCAGAACAGCACGCTGATGGCCGAGCTGTCCAAGGTAGGGTGACCTCTGGGCGACCTCTGGGCGACCTGAGATGACCCCAGCCTGACCCGTGTCCCTCAGCTCTGCACGCAGATCGAGCAGCTGGAGACGGAGAACCGCCGCCTGCAGGAAGGGGGTGGAGCCTCTGGGCCCCCTGCTGACTCCGCCTGTGGCCCCGCGGATGAGCTGCTGCGGCTGCAGGCCGAGAACGCCGCGCTGCACAAGAAGCTGAGGGGTGAGTCTGATGGGAGGGTTCTGGAGGTCCGGACCGGTCCAGGCGGGTTCTTTGTGGTTCGGTCCGGTCCGTTTCTGACAGATGTTTTAGTCGCTCCTCTTCTCATGCAGCTCTCCAGGAGCGTTTCGATGGGGAGCTGCAGAGGCCGCCTGTTGCCCACGGCGACCAGAGCGTTGCCACGGAGACGGATGGGCCAGCTGGCACCAACAGAGTCTCTGATGTTGCAGGGGGGGGGATGGGGGCGGGGCCAGAGGGAACCAATCAGAGGGAGGAACTGGTGAGTACCTGCAGCAAAGCTGGACCACAGAGTTCTGTTCAGTCCAACCCGGTTCTGACCCGGTTGTGTTCCTCAGACTGAGAGCGGCCTGCAGCAGTCAGAGCAGCAGCGTCATGGTGAGTCCCTCTGCGTTGCTACATTAGTTAATTTTTTATGAACAGCTCAAATCAATATTTAATAATATCTCATCAATATTCATGTCTAATAGTATCGTGATAATCAATATTTCCTGTATCGTTTGTTGTTAAAATCGTCCGTCTCAATTTCAATATTTTTATTTATTTTTCCATGTAAGCCGATTCCATTGTATATCCACCAGAACCGGTCTTAGTTCTGGTCCTGAGCAAAGCCCAGTTCTGGTTGGTTGGTTCTGGCTGACCCAAAACCACGCTGAGCGGTTCTGATGGTCCCAAGTCGCTGCTCATGATGCTGAGGCTCCAGATGTTTCCATGGAAACAGATGACTCAATAAACAGAACCAGCTGATCCATTCATCAGTCAGCAACTGATGAATGGACTCCAGAACCGCTCCAGGTCCAGTCTGAGC